AAAATTGAAAAAAAAAAAAAAAAAAAAAAAAAAAACTCAACACTTAGCAAAGAAAACAGAAATGTTATTTTTACCGAAGTCTATTTTATAAATGTAGCATACACAATTTTATATAACCTCCTCACATTAAAACTTTTGACGTTCTATGTGAGGCGTTTCAAGAGTTATCATCTTCATATTATAACTGTAATAACTTAGTGTAATATCCGAAGAAAGAGAAATAGAAATAGAAATAGAAATAAAAAAAGAAAAAGAAAAGAAAAAGTCGAGAGAGGAGCAAATAGGTAAGTTTGCCCCTCCAACCACTAAAGCCGTCCAAATGAAACCCAAGAGTCGTGCAAAAGAAAAATAGTGAGAGAAAGGTGTGAGAGGGAACCTAGAGAGAGGAGGAAGAATGAACGGCCGGAAAACTCACCTAAAACTACCATCGGAGTCTACTCCGATCAAGATCATGATGCAAGGAGCCTTTCTTGGAAGGGAAAAGAGAATGTGGGTGGCCGGAGTCCCATTTTCCATCAAGGAATCAGGAAAACCCGCGAGGTAAGATCTTGAACGTTTTCCCAGATCTATGGTTTTCCTTTGTGAATCAAGATCTAAAATTTTGATCTATTCATTTAGGAACAACTTTCTACAGGATCTTTGAAGAAATTTGACTGAAACCTCAATTTGAAGGCAGAAATCCGAGAATCGTCCGAGAACGGTGAGCGAACTTCCGACGCTCTTAACTCGTCCGGTAGTCAAGAAAAAAATTACAAAAAAAATACTAAGACGTAGCCCGTAACACGATCTAGAACTTTGCCAAAGAAATCAAATCGATCCGATTTACGGATCGAAAGATATAAAAATTGGAAAAGGGGACTGTGTTATGGATTGCAGAGGACAGAGAAGAAAAAGAAAAAAAAAAAAAAAAAAAAAAAAAAAAAAAAAAAAANNNAAAAAAAAAAAAAAAAAAAAAAAAAAAAAAAAAAAAAAAAAAAAAAAAAAAAAAAAGAGGTCGGCCGGCGAGCGGCGGTGGGCAGCGTGACAGGCGCTAGACACGCGTCCACTGTCGGCTGGAGCAACGCAGCTCCAGCGAGGCGACGACACGTGTCGCCTGCAAAGCCGAGCCGAATCGCACCGGACCGGACCGGCCTACCCGCGACTATGCAGGGGCTGTCGCACGTGCGGCCTGCAACTGGCGCGTGAGCGCGCGTGAAACAGCCGTTTTGGCCTGTTTGCCCGATTTTTGTCCCGTTTCCAGTTCTAATACTGTTTTTACGTGAATAGGGACCTAATATAAAGAAATCAGTATTTTTGGATACCTCACGGGCAAAGAAACGCTAGCAAAAAGGCACACGTCAACTAGGTAAGTCACCACCCGATATTTAGGAAGAAATATTTGTAGGATTCGCTTGGATTGCATGCATGCTAGTAATTTTGTTTGAGATGAGCTCTCCATGTAAAATAGTAGCCAGATTGATTGCTATGAGTGTATTGGGTGATTTATCTGAGTGTTGCTTGTATGCTTTAAGCTTCCGTCGTATGTATGCATGCGTTTAATTTATGTTGGAATTGTGTATTCCGTGTTCTGGGTGCTTGATGGATGAATTTGCCCCATTGAGCGCGAACTTCGTGCTCTAGGTGTTTGATGGAGGTCATCGCCCCGTTGAGCCGGTATGCCTAGTTTGCATAAATTATATATTATGATGTTAGAAGACGGTTGCATGCACACTCTGTTAATTGCTAGGGCCCATTTCTATGATAAGCTTACGGGATTACTGTTAGGAGCCATATATCGCTCTAGCCAGACTTTACTTTCCCCTAGGAACTTAGTTGTTTCCCACGGCAACAAGGTACCTCAGTGTTCATAGATTGCTAGTGTGAGAATGGTATCTATAGCTTCGTGGGAGGACCAAGGGTCCCTGATCAGTCCTTACTGCTCTTAGCCATTTCGCATGTGAAATGTGTCCCCACGTCGTACAGCCCATTAGCTACATGGGAACGGGTTGGGTTGCGCGCCCCATAGGGGGGACTATATGGGCGTAGGGGTATTCAGCACGCCCCTAGGTTAGATACCATGTAGTCCTAGATAGCCATGTAGAGGTAGCACCTCATAGAGAGTGTAACGACCCGAAATTTTCTACTTAATTTAAGGTCGCTACTGTATACATACCATAAACATTGAATGCATAAAACTTCATTAAAATTTCATAAAACATAACCTTTATCTTAAAACACAGCCATGGACTTGCATGTTTCGAAAACACCTTTAAAACGACACAACAAAAGACTAAATAAAATTAATAAGAGTTTAAGTTAAAAACATCCTAGTCTAGCCTAAGTCTAAGAAAATAAACACCACTACCCTATGCATGTGTCATGGTCTCGAGTTGCGATGCCGTCGTCAGCCGTATAGGAATGTCTTGCCTTAACCTGAAAAATGTAGTAGCACATGGCTTGAGTATTTAAAGAAATACTCAGTAAGTGACTCCACTATTGGGGTTAAATGCAACAATCACATGCAATGAAATGATGGGACCTATGTTTCGTTTCGTTTTTCCTACGGTGCTGTCCTAACGGGTAATCGTGGACGTGTACCATATACTCTACACACATCCCATATGTGCGAGTATGGGCTCACCAGCTAGTTCGCACACCGCTGGGCCACTTTTCTTATCCGATGGGCATACTCTGGGAGCCCCTTATGCCGAGACCCGTTAAAACTAGTAACCGTCACAGCAGCGCTATGCAAAGCATAACGATTGTTGTCTTGCCATTGGATGTACGCGTCCGTACCCTCATGATGAGATAAGGGTATCCCCCCAGATGCATGAACACACATAATGCATGAGGTCCCCCCTACTTCTACATTTTCATTATCCTTTCATACAACCCCGCTAGTATTATGTACATATCATATCATTTTTCATATCGTTTCAGATATCGTTCATCATTCATATCATATCATTTCTCATTCTTCAGTTCTCAAATCATACATAATTCTAACGGGGTTATATTTCATGTCATTTATCGTAATTTCATGTCATTCATATCCTGCTGTATACACACAATTTAAGAGACCTAACATAACGTTCTATGTTTTTAACATAACATTTCATCATATACACATCATACCATGACATATTACATCATAATGTATCATATCATAAACAAGTCATAACATAAACACTTCGTAGTCGTACCGTTTTCTAACTTATCGTAGCCTTAATGTTCTTATATCTATCACAGACATATCATTACGTGAACGTACCTTAGTCATATCATCACAAGAACGTAACCTATCACTATCGTTTTATCAATCCTAACGCTATCGTTCTATCAATCTATCACAAACCTATCCCTTTCTATCCGTAACCTAATTGTATTCTTCCATCAATCTTTCTTATCCATATCACTTTGGTATGTAACCGAACCTTAACGTTTCATGAACGTATTTTACTCCTATCTTTACATTTCGTTTTGTGCATCCTTCTCGTATCCTATCTCAAACATATCCATGAACACATCGTACCGTAATTATTAACATACAATTCACATATTATAACATATACATAACATATAAGAAACATATCGATCCACAAGAAATTCACACATATCAATATATATAACACGTGTAGAACCACGGGACATGTGTCAATAGCAAATATAATCATGTCGATAGTAAGGTCACTTAGCTGGCTAGCTTAAATCGTTGTCACAAATATATCTTTAATGAAAGTTCGATTCCGTCCTTTTAAATCCGAGTCAACTTATATGAGCCCATGACATTAGTTTCAGGTTTGAACTTTACAACATTATTTTCTCTAATTTACATTGGTCCATCGTTAAAAGTCTGAAATGTTATATATCTATAATTATATTTTTATTAAAAATCTTATTTTTCATGGTTACTCTCATATAAGAAAGTAGATACATCTATTTCAAGTTATTTTGAGCTTTACTACTCCCTGTATTTACCTTTCCCTCGTTTGTGGTTTTTAATTCCCTAATCTTATTTTTTTATATGTTGTCTTTTAATTCTGTTCTCATGCATTCCAAATTTATAGTGGATCTCTTTTTCCAAATCTTTCCTTATATCAGTGTTTCCTATGAGAAGTTTTCTTGGTCATTCTATCTTTAATCTATTCATTTCGTTACTGATAAAAATTTAATCTAATATTATTGATCTGACCTGATTTACTAGAATGTATAAATGATTGATCTAGTTTCTAACTCAAAGCTAGACCACTATAATAATTTAATGAATATCTAACTATAATTGTTGTGATTTCTAAAAAAAAATAGGATAAAAGAGAATGAAGATTTAATATATACCTTATTGATTAGATCTATCTTCAAGTAAATCTTCGGTCAATCTCAACTGGGTGGAGACCATTCTCATTTCTTTTTTTCTAAGTAAATCTAACAATTATTGTTTTTCTTTTTCTTTTTGCAGCAACAGTTACTTTCTAGCATAAGGATGGATTGAGGAGAAGGCCATTCTCATTTCTTTTTTCTCAAGGAAATCTGACAATTATTGTTTTTCTTTTTCTTTTTGTAGCAACTTTACTTTCTAGCATAAGGATGGGTTAAGGAGAGATAATTATGGGAAGGGATGAGAAGTTAGTGAAGAAAAGTGGGGAATTTTTTTTTTTAAATTTAAATTTTAATTAATTAATTAATTTTTTTTGATTACGATGAAGGTTTGCATGGTTGGAATACTTCAAAAAGTCTTGCAAGCTAGGGTTGAGTTCTTAGTTTCTATTTATTGCTTCTGTTTTAATTCATAATAAAAATCAAAACGGTTCCCAATGCTTCCGCTACGTGGATGAAGAATTCATTCCTTCACCCAATCAATCTAAGATTTCGGATTTATTCAAAAGATTTTTCCAACCCGACTTAATCCATACAAATATAGTTAATACAAAATTCTCAATATTTCAGATTTGAGGAATATGTGTAATAGACCTAAATTTTTCGTTTTCATATACAAAATTCGTTAATACATGTAAATCTGTATTTGCTTCTAGGATCCGCATTAAAAATAGTTACGATATAATAAAACATATCACTTATATATATATGAAAGGTAAAACTTAGTCTAAATGAGAAACCTTCATTCATACCTAAATTAAAGCCTAAATTAACCCACCAAACCTAGTTTGGCAGCCATCTAATGGTTGGTTTGCACGAATATATATATATATATATATATATATATATATATCATGATATCTATAAAAGATAATAAGATAATAAGAGTTGGTTTACACCATATAGATTTTTAAATGATTGGAAGAGTTGATAAAAATTCGAAAACTTCCAATACTATCTAAGTTTAGGATTTAATTCAGTAAAATTAAAAATTTAAAGTACAAATTTATAAACTTGACTGTTCATTGAATCTTTATTTTTCAAATTTCTATTTATTGATACTCACCAAAATTCACTCAAGATTGTGGCGTGACCAAGATGACTTTTAATGATAATTATTTTGATTTATATAAAATGGCGCTCTAGGCTAAAGTGTTTGAGGGTCATCTAGAATGTCTAAGATTATGAGACATGTCTCATCTTCTCTAAGCCAAGTGGAATAACATATTGGGTATAGAGTATGTCCTAGGACACATGTCTCACTAGCTTTAGTGCAAGTGGAAGATTGTTGGGATTTATGCCCTAAAGCCTCTAATTGTAATTAATTATTTAGTTTTTTAACAACAATTTTTTTATAATTTTTATTATTTTATTTTTAATTTAATTGTTATCTATAGTATAACAATTCAAA